TTCTCACTAGTTGTGTCCTTGCTTCCTTCTACAAAAATATAGACAAAGAAAAACAATTGTAAATTGGAAAAATTATATAGTTTGCTCAAGCTCAAGTACATGTACATGTATATATCTATCTATCTGGTACAGTAACTCCCTCAGTCTCAGCAATGAGGAAAGGATACAAGATACTAGTACATAATTAAAAACAAATTATTTATTACAAACTCAGTGATTTATTTCACGCTTTAATCTGGAGGAAAATTGATATAATTTGATGTAGCAAAATGAGGATTTCACACAAAGAATACTAAGTGAGCTTAGTACAATGTAGCATATGCTTCATGAGCTGACAAGCACTAACGCACAGTAGATGACACTTTAAAAATTCATGAAAACAAAATCAGCTCAACTTTCTACACTATATAAGAACATGTACATATGCATCAAAAAATTTCAACCCTCTCAGGGATATTATTGACAAAATTTGGCCAAAGATCAAAGGCTATCAAAGCCTTATACCGTACAAGATGATTTATTGGCGGGAGTAATTTTTGGCAAATTTGCCTGCAAAAAGAAATTGGCGGATTTTATATTGGCAATTTTGTGCCACGTGCCATTGAGCATGCTCAGATTGAAACAAAATGGCAGATATTATTAGTGATTTCTTCATAAAACCACCAATCGCCAATAAATCATCTTGTACGGTAGCCTTTGGTCATTGGTCCGATTTTTGAACAACTTAAAAAATTTTTTAAAAATACAAATTGATCTGAATCAGTTAAAACTTTCTGCACAGCATAAGAACATGCATATGTATCAAAAAATTATTACAATGGAGAATTTATTAAGAGCACTTTTTGAAAAAATATTTAGTCAAAGCCCGATTTTTAAGCAAATTAAAAAAATTCATAAAAAATCCAACTTTGATTGGAATTACATGTAGCTTAAACTTTCTGCACAACATAAAAACATGTATATGCTTTAGAAAAAATTATAAAAATGAAGAATTCTTTCGAAGCAATTTTTGACAAAATTTGGCCAAAGACCAAAGGCGTAAGCCTTTGGTCATTGGCCCAATTTTTGAGCAATTTAAAAAATTTATAAAAAATCCAAAGTTGATCAAAATCAGCTCAAATTTTTTTTCACGACACAAAAACATGCATACATGTATCAGAAAAAGTATAAAAATGGAGAATTCTTTCAGAGCCATTTTGAATGGAATTTGGCCAAAGCCAAAGGCTACCATAGGCCAGGTTTTGATTGCAAGGTTCTTTTGATTGCGAATTGCGAGTCTGGAATACATCTTGCAATGAAAAGAATCGTTATTAATAATAATTGATAAATACCACACCTATAATAATTAATAAGTACCACACCTATCAATCATTTTCTCTGCATGTACTTCATTTTACAGCATCATGAGTGGTATCCTGTGCTATTTTCAGCCCAAATTACCTCATCTAGTCAAGTCCCAATGCCACCTAACATCTTGAAGGAAGTTAATCAAGCTGTGGCAGTAGCTTTAGATGGCAAGACAATCACTTAACTTGTGAGTGTGGCTAGCTAGGCTAGCATCTCACAATTGTTGGAAACGCAAACTAGTTATTTTTTTAATTCGCAATCTATTAGATACACAATCAAAACCCGGCCTACGGTATAGCCTTTGGTTGTTGGCTCAATTTTTAAACAACCTCAAAAATTCTAATTCAATTGAAATCAGGTCAAATATCTACAAAAGAGAAAAAACATGTATATGCATCAAAAAATTATAAAAATGAAGAATTATCTACTTGCATTTTCCTCATAATAACCTGAACTATAATAGTAAATGGTCTTAAATCACCTAATTTTTGAGCAACTTGACAATCCACTGTTAATAGGCTGCATGAACACTATGCTAAAATCTTGTATGAAACCCTGCATTAATCATAGTTCTGCCTATGGTGGTTGGGGGTGGTCAGGACAACCACCTCAACAAGTGAACCAACCAGTTCATCACTTAGACCAACCATCCAATTAATACTAATAACCATACATAAAGCATGATATTGTAATCTACTAGTATGGTGTATATAAATTGGTCTCCAACTACCTCTATTTTCTTTCCTAGGCAGAACCCTGATTAATGTATGCTACACAACATGGCAATATACACACAATATACACAGTGCAATGAGTGCATGCTTAAAACGCTAAACTTAGTACAAAGTACATGTACATGTAACTATGCAGCTAACTTAATAAGTTAATATAATTAACATACCAACATATCCACCTCTCGATTTAAAGTCTCTCCTTTCCAAAACTTCAACAGGTTTTGGTATGATCCGTCCACTTCTTTTTGACACTCTGACTTTCTCTCCATCTTCAGTGTATTGATACCTAATTCTACAAGGTTTACTAAAAAGCAAAATAAGATCTTTTTACAGATTTTCACATACACAACACAAAACATGTACACTGCTAATATTTACTGCAAACTACAAAAATCTTGAATTATAATGCTAAAAATTACATTTCAAATTTTCAAATAAAGTAATACTGGTGACTGGTGAAAACTTCTATGTTTGTCTACGGTACTAATGATATGCTATTCAGTGAGTTTGAACTAATATCAATAAGAATATGGGCACTCAAGAATTGAATTTCGGTGAAAATATAGTCCAGATTGCCCAGGAAAAAAGCAGTTATTTGTCTCATTACATGTACATGTATTAAAATTCGCAATACCGTATAGCAGAAAATTTTCGTGGCCCAAAATTTTCATGGATCCGTCCAAAAATCAATTTTGTGGCTTTAATTTTCGTGGTTTTCTACAATTCGGCCATCTTAAAACATATAAAATTGATTTTCGCGGATTTTATTTTCGTGAGTTTCGAAAAAAAACGCAAAATCCACGAAAATTTTGGGCCACGAAAATTTTTCGCTATACAGTAATTAATCGGCCTAATTACAAAATACAATATACAATAGCATACCCATCTTCAGGATCAACTAGAGCTACATTGGAAACGTGTAAAGGTGCTTCACTAGCTATCCTTGTTCTTGCTGTTTCACCTACCATTACTCTAATATGCTACAAACCACACCCATAATGAATAACAAGAAACTGATTTATGAAACATACAGTATTAAGACCTCCAACAAATATGCGATTCGTCCTCCGAGCAACTGCAACAACTTTCCCATTTCTTCCTTTGTCTTTACCACACAGTACCTGTACCTGCAGTGAATTAATAATTATACATATTTATCAATTATCAGTGTTGTATGTTGAATATAAAAAACTTATCAGGTCTCCTTTCACAATGTTCCATCGAGAAATAGGTTCAGGAAATTTGAAGTCTTTACTTTTTACCATTTTCAAACGGGCAGCAGCTAGAGTCCAAGGCTTCCAAGACATTTTGCACTTGACATTGAGTGAGAAGAGTTAAAAATAAACCACACATGGATGATGCAAAGGTGTGGCTGAAATGCAATTGTACTTGCAAGTGGCTCTAGATAGTAACAAACTCTGTTATGCAGTTCACTCATCAGTGTTTCAATTTTGCATTTAAGTTTATTTTATAAAGAAAGAAAAAATACAGATGAGAGAAGAATAATCATAATTGTGAAAAACACACTATTAAAGGCAGCAGTAATAATTAGAAATTTAAAATATCAAAAATTACGAACAATTCAAATCTTCATCCTTTTCAATGACTCTATTACTTCAGCCATAGTAAGACGAGCACTATGATTAGCATTAAGTCCTCTTTGTATGAGAGACTTCATATCAGACCAGGAGACACTACCAGCTTGTACTTCTCTCTCTGCTGTCGTCATTTCTGGTGGAGAGCACAAATTCATTTCCATAAGGAGAACAGAGTAACTGTAGACATCCATTGCTGGACTGTGTTTGTCAGGATCACGAGCTTCTGGTGCAGCATATGCAACATTGCCTGGCATAACAGTACCAGGACTGTCAACTTGCACTAATTTAGCTGTACCATAATCTGCTACTTTAGCTTCATAACCAGCAGGTCCAGTGCAAGGCTTTAATAATACGTTAGGACTGCTCACATCTCTGTGAATAATAGGCTGAGGCTTAAACAGGTGAAGGTAGTTGAGGCCTAAAGCTACATCTTGAGCAATACTGAGAATCTGTTGCTTGGTTAATTGGTTTCTGCGAAGCTCCTGATTAAGACTAGTGCTCATCAGTTCAGTCAAGATGAGAGGATTACCCACTTTAGTTGCACCAATAAACTGGACCAGGTTAGGATGACGTATTCGTGATGCTATACTCATTTCCCTGGAGAAGATACCTAGATTATAATTTGAGATAATGATAGTATGAAGTGACTTGACAGCTACTCTTAAACCTCTAAAGATACCAACTGTAACGACAGCATAAGATCCTCTTCCTAACTCCTCCTTTGTCAAAGTCACCTCATCTTTATTAATAACCCAGTGATCATCAGTAAGTGCTTGTTGCTGGTACCTATCAATGGCCACTAGAGATTGACGTAGCTCCCTATCCTTCTCCTGCAGCTCCCTATCCTTTGCAAGTATGACTAGATCCTTCTCCTGCAGCTCCCTATCCTTTGCAAGTATGACTAGATCCTTCTCCTGCAATGCCTCCTGTAGTACCACCTGATGCTCTCTATCCTTCTCTTGTAGTTGATGACAATATCTTCCTATTTCTTGATCTTTCTCTGCTTTTTCTCTTTCCTTCTGCTCCAATTGTTGAGAATAAACTTGTGCTTCTCTCTCCTTCTCTTCAAGACTCTTCATAAGAGCTTGTATGGTTTGCTCAATATCGGCTGTATCTCCTTTTCTTAGTTTCTGGTACTCCTCCAACCAATTTCTTCTTCCTAACTGTAGTTGTTGCTGATACTTCTTCTTGTATTCTTCATTATTCATGCCATTGGTATCTAATGTATCACCTACTGTCCACTCTCCTTTACTGTTAGTAACTAAAAACAAGCAAAAATATTCCTATAATTGTTTTCACCACCTCGCATGCATAGCTAAGTTTGTTTAAACTTATAGAGGCTCTCTCTACCTTCTAGTGCTTCTAGAGAAATCGTTAGACAGTATCTCTATGTTCTCTAGCTGTTACTTTATAGCGGAAAATTTTTGTGGCCCAAAAACTTTGCAGATCCGTTTAAAAATCAATTTCATGACTTTAATTTTTGTGGTTTTCTACTTTTTGGCCATCTTGAACTGTATTGAATCAATTTTTTTGCGGATTTTATTTTTGTGAAATTTGAAAAAACGCAAAATTCATGAAAATTTTCCGCTATATTGTAGTAAATAGAAAGCTCATAACTTATAGGTTCCATGTGTAAGCTGCCATGCTATCATTTTGTTTGACTTAGCAACACCCACTTTACGTAAAGAATGTGGGCGGATAGTTGTTAAGGCATATTTTTTATTTCTTCAATAAAACGTGTATAAAAGAAATGTAAGTGTTGACATACAAAATTACCGTATAGCGGGTTTTTTTTTGAGGATAACAAATTTTGCAAATTTCGCGGATTTTTTCATGATTCACGAAATTAAATTCCTTGAAAATCAATTTAATACAGTACAAGATGGCAGATTAGTGAAAATTCACGAAAATTAATTTCGCAAACTTCTGGATATGGGTCATTCGCGAAATTTATTATCCTCGAAAAAAACCCGCTATACGGTATAGTGCGATGATGAAAACAATTATAGCCAGGTCATAATAATAATAAAATTAATAACTTATAGGTTTTGATAAAATATAGCAAGAGTAGGCATGCTAAAGTTCTTGACTACCAACTTTTCAACTCAGCAGCAATACATATACTAACCTAATTCAGTTAACATAACAATATTAGGATTAGTGACTAATGTCAATCCTACATGTATATCAACACATCCTCCAGCAGTTATTATCCAGACACATTGAGGACTCATAATGAACACTGAAAGAGAATGACCATGTCTCTCATTAACAAAGTGAGGTACATCCAACTATTGATAGAATGATAATATTAATAATACATGTGTCTCACTGTAAAAATGATACCTTTATCCAGGAATGTTGAGTGATATTAAAGATCCAACAATCATCTAATGTATCATCATTCTTATCTAACCCACCACTTATCACTAGCATAGGACAGCCTGATCCAGTTATAATAACAGCACCTGCAAGATGGAATCTACCCACAGGCCATTGGTCTATTGCTACAGGTTTCTTTATACACTGCCAGAACTAACAAGAGTAGAATAAATTTTTTATAGTGCAAAAATATTCTTAAGAGTGTTCACCATCTTGCACATATGGCTGCATGGCATGTATTTATTTTAGACACACAAATTTGTTATTCTGAATGACCTGGAGGTTTCGTCCCATAGTCTCACGTGGCCAGGTTCAATTTTAGAATTAAGCTGGTTTCAATCTTAATTTAATTGCTGTTACCATGGTTACATTGTAAACCAACCTATGGTCCACAGTCAAGTTAATATTTTACTTCTGGTGCACCAAGGTAGACTTGTTATCTTTAGGCTACTATCTATAACTGCATCTGCTATTCAAACACAGTATATTTAAAAATTTATCTGTTTGGAAATTTTGTGCTATAATAAAAATGTGTGATGAATGTGGCATTAACTTTTATGTATAATCAAATATTCCTCATCTTGTGGAATAAAAGTCACAGTAAAAATTTCCAGATACATGCATACAGTAATGAGTGCACTATTACGCAGTAGCGTTACTAAGTAGGATTTGCCTCACTTCAAAATGGTTGCCATGACTTTTGCAGCCTTGCTATACTGGGAAAACAAGCTCCTATGCTTACCAGACTTTATAGAGGACCTTATCTTGACTGGAGTGACCTACAGACTAGCCTTGCTATTATGGACACCTTGAAAGTGTCTCTGTTATACAGAGATGAGGTCAGCTAGCGTGGCTCTAAACCTTATCTAAGAGGAAAGTAAAAAAATCCGGAAAACGGCCATTTTGTTCAGCCACCTTTTTTCCTCTTCATCATCAAGTCCTGTCAATCCAGTTGTCGCTCTGTATCTTGACTTTACTTGGTGCTAGAAGGCTAATTCTTACACCATTCTACTCCAATAAGGTATGCACAGGTCCCTATTTCCTATAGAACAATTCTCCAAGAAAAAAGAAGTTATACTGTGACTGCTAAATTGGGCCATGTTAGCTGCACGACGCCATTTTTGTTAATAGGGCATATTCATTACTTTTATTTGAATAATTAGAAATTATGGTCAATGGGGCAGAAGCGCATTATTAGTCCAATGTTAATGGCGATGCTGTCCCAGATAGAGAGAGGCCTTGTTGCCAGGTAGAGAAACAGAGGATCTGAAAGTTGCTGAGCTCAAACACTTGCTTAAGTCCATAGGAAAGTCCATGTAAGGAAGAAAGGTGATTGCACAAATTAATTTTTTCTTACCTTTCTTATAAATCAGCTTTTCTTCCTTACATAGACTTTCTTCAGTCAGGCGCGGCCTGACCCTTGCGAAAATGGAGGGTCAGGAATCTCGTGTATACCAGACTTGTTTTCAACTACTATGGCTTCAGGTGGAGCTGCAGCTGCTGTAGCAGCCTATGTCATCATAATGAATAATTAATAGCTATTTATAATTATTGTTTGATAATAAAAACAAATATAATTACAATTATAAATAAAGAAGCAATGATGACTGTAAGACTGTCAGATGTGGAAGCAACATCACTTCCCAGGCTAAAAATTGTTGCAGTTTGTTTAGCAGATCTAATTTGATGTTTCAACATGGAGAGAACTGAGGCAGCATATATGGCCGGGTTTGAGGACCTTCCTATAGATGAGACTTCTGATGACATCCTATATAGCTACCCTGATGAATTTATAGTGTCTGGAAGAATATGCAAATGCAGAGAATGGATACCAAGAAGATTAGCTACAGCACCAACATCCATCTTCAATTAATATTAATGATCATTAAAGTTACATAGTCATAGCTAGTCACAATGTGTCACTGCAGAATTTCTGCAGCAGCTAACAAATCTGGTATATATGAGGTTCCTGACCCTCCATTTTCGCAAGGGTCAGGCCACGCCTGACTAGACTTTCCTATAGACCCAAGCAAGTGTTTGAGCTCAGCGGCTTTCAGTTCCTCTGCTCCTCTACCTGCATGGCAACAAGGCCTCTATCTGGGACAGCGTCGCCATTGACATTGGACTAATAATGCGCTTCTGCCCCATTGACCATATATTCTAATTATTCAAATAAAAGTAATGAATATGCCTTATTAAAGAAGCATGTACATGCTCCAAAATTTAGGTGTGGTTGCGCATGCTTAGATCTGCAGCTCTGGAATAAACAAGTAATTTCTTTACCAGGCTATATGCTTGGAATCAACTGCAACACTTATAGTAGACTGGAGGTTTCTAGCTAAGAGAAGGTATTACTCTTGCATATTATACTTTTATCAAGTGTGTAATGAATTATTTTATTTCAAAAACAAACAATTAATGTTATAATATGCAATGATAATATGAACTTGACAACAGGAAGAACAGGAATAGCTACAGGATTGCAGGGAAGATGGATACCTTCACTGCTCCTTGAACAAGCACTCATGTCAAGACTAGTATTAATTTCACTTGTCATTAGTATAATAGATATTCCTTCAGCATATCTATTCAATGCTGTCTCTTAGGCCCCGTTTACACTAATCCATTTTCACATGTAAACAGAGACTTTGATTCTGATACAGCTTCTGTTTACACTAATACATGAAAATGCATCACAGATACTAAAGTGGATACTTCTATAAACAAATGATAAATCTTATGAAAATGCAGCTGTTGGGTTAGTATAAACACCTCAAATGGATAATAGCAAAAACAAACCTGATTCAGTGAAGTGGATTAGTGTAAACGGGGGTCTTATAAATGCTGTAAATTTAAGACATAACAATGATAATGATAATAAAGAAAATTATTGTTTGTGTGAAATCAACAAGTATCACAATGGCAACTGAAGAAATATTATAAATTTATTTATTTATTATTATTATTATTACCATTATTATTAATAAAAATTATTATTATTATTATTATTATTATTATTATTATTAAAATGGTGACAGAAAGATACAAGAAGCAAACAAAAAACAAACAAACAAAAAAACAATAATAACAACAACAAAAAAAATAACTGAAACAAAGAATCCCTTAAAGGGAACCGTCAATGTAGGATGCGAGAGAGGGCTGCCGAGCAACCCACATAGCAGCATTACCTCTCCATAAAGAGACTGAGAGGTGCTGGAAGAGATGAGAGCAGGTAACAGAAGGGTTGCGACCAATACGCTGGCCTAACTGATGACCAATAGAGCGGATAATAGAGACTGCTGAAGGGCTCCAACCTCCTAGGACTTCAACAGCCAGAGGGAAAAAATTGACACCAACATGATGACAAGCGGCAGCATGCATAGATAGTTTACGTGCTTCAGCCACCCCTAGAGCTGAACCTTGAATACCAGCCAAATCAGCCACCATGGCCACCTAAAAAGAGGAGATGACTGTGACATCCAGGGCCGCTAGCCAACCACCATC